GAAAGGCATTTGAGAGTGTTTAGGTCTTCAGACGTGTGACCCAATTGCCCAATTTCACAATCAGTGAGGCAGCGAATGCTCTCACTTGTTTCTGAGGCAAAGTGCTAAATTTAAACCAAGCCATATAGTGCCCTGCATGACAGTTTATGGCAATGTTTGGAGTGGTTGAAAATCAATGGCAATGGCAATATATCTCTAGACCAGATGCTGCCAATCCTGCAATATACTTATATAGTTTGTGGGAATTGACAGTGTAGGTATCAGGCATGTAAATAATGATTTCGATTATAGGACCTCGATATATTCTGTTGATCTGTATTAAATATGTATGACAGCTACACAACTCAGTAATTAAGTATAGGTTATTTTGAGGCAACGAGGGGATATGTACGGAAGCCCAGAAGTGTAATTGCTATTACCTATTTCCGTGTTGAAAAAGTGGGTTCGCTGGCGGACTATTTGGTTCGCTCGCGGACTATTTCCTATTACCTATTACCGTGTTTGCTATTGCTGTGTTAGTCTCCCTCGCAGCCTGTTCGCGGGTATTCCCACTCACAGGCTGCTAGCTTTCGAACAACATTCCTTTCTGCCTGCTTAGCCAATGACAATCAAGGTTCCATATTTCGGAACTTTTTGCCGCCATACTACAGAGCCAATCACAATCAATGTTTCAGACGTATTCTGAGCCGAAAATCACTAAACAATATGGCTTCTCTGGAAAAAACATTCGATATTGCTGCTCACAAGTTCAACATTCGCTGCCTTAATCCGCATCAGAAAACAGCGATTCGAGCAGTAATTATTGAAAAGAAAGACGTGTTTGTAAATTTGCCCACTGGCTTTGGAAAATCGCTCATGTACCAGGCACTTCCGTTTGTAATAGACGAGGTGTCCAGATGGCCAGTTCATATTGTGGCAGTTGTCTCCCCGTTGTTAAGTCTCATGGATGATCAAGTAGCACACCTTACAAGTCTGGGAATAAGCGCGGTTAATATAAGCTCGTGCATGGAAGAAGATTGCGATGGTGTCGAAGCTGGTGAATATTCTATCGTTTATGGCACGCCAGAAGCGTGGATACTGAACCCTCGATGGAGAAATATGCTTAATAGTAAAGTTTATTCGACAAGATTATGTGCTCTAGCAGTCGATGAGGCCCATGTTATCAGACAGTGGTGAGTTTAGTTAAAATTTATAATTTTAAACGATATAAAGCTAACTAATTTTATCGATTCATAGTGAAAATCAGAAAATGTTCTAAAATATGGTAAATACAATGTTTGATTCGGTTTAATATAATAATTTTATGTTTGATTATGTAATTTATATTTATATTATTTATATACGACTCAAATATGACAATGAATTTGAGTTTCCCTGCCTTGTTGTATATACATTCAATTTAAATATATTATAAGTACAGCGTTAAATTATTAAACCTTGTGGACCTCATTAATTTACTACATATGCAGTCGGCATAATTTAATACTACATTGCATATATAGACTACATACTAAATGAATGTTCCCTATGCCTATAAAATGACAGTTTCCAAACCATGTGTTAGGTATTGGGATATACATTCACTTTGGTTTAGTATTTACTACGAAATGTTGAAATGTTTTCAATATTTATATCATCAATTTATCGTAGTCGAACTATATTAATAATCTTAATAAGTAATGTATTGATGCATGACTAAAAATAGAAGTGGTTTAATATTTTTTTTATACTTTCCCTTCCCAGGGGGATATCACAAGATAACAAAAAGGCTGCATTCCGTGAAGCATACAGCAAGTTATATGAACTCAGGTCATTAGCACCAAATGTTCCAGTGATTGCCCTAACAGCTACAGCAACACATCTGACTAAAGAATGCATCTTGAGTATTCTATGCATGAATGACTGTTCTAAAATTGAAGAGAGTCCAAATAAGCTGAATGTATCATATGCTGTGGAGTGTATGCACAAGGACACAGAGTTGGAGTTTTATTTTACTTGGCTAGCTGATGAGTTAAAGTCTAAAGAAAAGCAATGTGAAAGGACTATTATATACTGCCAGACAATCGAGCAATGTTCTATTATATATGCCACCCTTAAGGGAATTTTGGGGAATTATATGTTTGCCAGAGAAGACAAGAGTGTTCTTATGGAAATGCTTCACTCCTGCACCCCAGAAGATAACAAAAAATGTATCCTTGAATCTTTTCAAAATGTAAACGGAACAATTCGAATTTTAGTTGCAACTATTGCTTTCGGCATGGGTGTTGACTGTAAGGCAGTTCATCGTGTCATACATTATGGACCATCAAAAACCATCGAAGCATATGTACAAGAGACTGGACGTGCTGGAAGAGATGGGGTGCAGAGCAGGACATTCATTTTATATCATGGAATTCTTCTAAATCATGTTGACATGAACATAAAATCATTTGTCAAAACTAAAGATTGTAGGAGAAAAACTCTTCTGAATCATTTTGAAGCTGATTGTAAATTGCCACTTTATCTGCATCTTTGTTGTGACAACTGTGCATCTATTTGTGAATGTGGACAAGCAGACTGTGGGCAGTATACAAAATACCCAATCACTGATTGTTACAAGGATGTACTGTTTAGTGGGAGGAAACGAGAAGTTAGCAATGAGCAAAAGAAGTTGATTGAGAATGCTCTGATACAATACCAGAAGAAACTTCTTATTGAACTTGCTAACACAACTGCAAAAGCAGAAATCAAAACTTTAACAAACATTCGACTCATGTTAGGGTTTTCTGAACATCAGATAACTCAAGTTTTGAATAGCATTGATCAGATTTTTACCATGTCTGATGTTTGTAGTGCTGTCGAAATTTGGGACAAGAGACATGCAGAAAAGATATTAAACATTATCAACAGTGTATTTGGTGACCTACTGGTACATGAGCATTTGCATGATTCAAGAGGTGAATCTGTTTTGGATATGTACGAGTTTGATGACGAACTACTTGATGATTGGCAAGAAATTCTTCAAGATAATGACATGTTTGATATGATTGTAGAAAATTTGTCACTCTCACAATTACAGGACTCATTAATAGATGAGCGTGACATGTCTTCAGACTCTCAAGATGAAGAAATCATTGTATCTGTGTTAAAGTAAAACTGAAATTCAGTTGTACAAATTGGTCTTTCCCTTGATATTTTACAATGTAACCAAACAATGCAGTATATAACTGTCTACTTCTTTGTGGAATTTCATATCTATTATTAAATAAAATAACTGCATTCATGGGTAAGTATATCCTAACTTTATTTATTTCATGCACACTATTCTTAGAAATGTGTTTACATCGACTGAGCATATTTACAGTTCCTGGAAATACTACGTGTATGCAGTCTGCTCTAGTTATATACATGCATGTTTAGTACATGTATGTTATCTCAATCAATTTCAAAACAAGTTATAATTAATATATAATAACAGTTCAAATTTGAAAGCCTTTCTAAAAACCCCCAGTTCTTCTCACATAATAAGCCCGCTATATACTCAGGCCCGCCGAGAGAGGGGGCAGAATTTCCCCAAGTTATTTTTTATGGAGCCCCAGTAATTTTTTTCGGGCAAAATATTTCTGTTTTTCGGACGAAATATCAGTGTTTTTGGGCAAAGTACTGAAATTTGGTATGGAAAAGGTTGTGGAAAGTGCCACAAGAGCAATTAAAACATTGGGAATAGGTGCCCCCCGAAACAAATTTGCCACTGGCCCCCTAAAAGCTCTCGGCGGCCCAGTATATACTATTAGTTGGTTAGAAAGAAACCTTTACCAAACAGGCGTAACAGAGAAATAATGCTTTATAAGAGTCACCTCGCCTTTACACCAAGAGCAACATTCTTTTTGTGTTTGCTGATCCAACTATACAAGTCAGTTGAATCAAGATCACTCAGGCGATCAACCTGAAAGTCTTTAAAATGATGATACTTCCTGCCTGGTTGTTCTTGAAATATATTAAAGTTGAATGCCTTTGTTACCAATTCTTGTAGATCCATGGAAGAAGATGGCTTAGAGTGTTTACCGCTATGCTTATGTCGTGATATGGACTCATCCAAATTGTCAAGAATGGATCTTGTAGCGCTTTTACATTTACATATGCGTGCAACAGCTGCCTCGCTGATGTTTGGGCCAAGATTTTTAATAACCTTGCTTTACAAAGTTATTACTATGCTCGGTTGCTTCATCGAGTGGGATGTTGTAACCTTTCTTTCCATGATTGTTGATTGACCTGTTCCAAATGAATCGCTCACTGTCTCTCGGTGACAACTCTCCATGGATGAGGAAGAACTGATAAAGGCATTCTAGCGCATATTTTGTGCTATGGCATCCGTCTGCTTTGCAAAAAAGCATAAAATACTTGTACTGCCTCATTAGCCGTGCCCCATCACCCTCTTTAATGGCATCAAGGAAATTGAAAAACAAATAACTATCAGCAAGAAGAGCACAGTTGTAGTTGTATGCATCATCTGGTTCTTTTGATTCTCCAGATGGAGGTGGTGGTTTGCATGGGCTTACAGAGATTGCAGGCTCTTCTGCCATTACAGGAGGGTTATGTGATGCCTCGTGTTTCTTTCGACTCATGCCATTGTATTTAAAGGATTTGTCGCATCCTGAAAATCTACAGGGGAATCGACCATCTGGTGTCAATTGCTGCTGTTGCAATGCATCTCTCTCTTCTTGTGTCAGGACACTACCAATAACATAATTAATTGAGGAGTTGCTCTTAAAAACAAATGTGTCTACAACTTTAGCTGATAGTTCGTGTAAATACTTCAGTTTTTCTGACTTTGACAATTCCTTCAAGTTTGGTGGAAAATCGATCTTTGTTGGTAAAGATGCTTTGCTTTCCATTCCTAACGCTGCCATAGCTGCTGTGATTACTCTAGACTGAAACACAATCATAAGAAAGTCCCTGTTTGGTCTGTATGATGATGATACATCTGCAGTAACATTTCGGCGATTTATGACAGTGCGATCTGCAAACATGGTGGAAATGTCATTGCTGGATTTCCCAGAGAAGAATCTAGCAAAAATGAGCTAAAAGATAAATAGTATAAACTGTAAGTTAATTATTCAAACTAAGATATTTGTCGTTCATATGTAGGATTAACTAATTAAATGAGACTGTCAGAACATGTTAGTCAGCTCCAAATGGAAACATTTGCAACATTAGAAGCACTTACACTCAACAATTTGACACCAGCATGCCAGTCTCCAATTTGAAAGTTCATACCCTCAAGGCGATCATGCTCTGACAATCCATTGGCCACAGAAGCAATTACATTCACTGCCCGTTCTACAGTAAGTTGATCTCCAGAAAATATCTGGCTATCCACCTTGTCATCAGCTCTCCGAGGGAGATAAGAATGGAACTGCTTCAGTATTGAATGCATGTCCTGATTGACATTCTCATCCTTGAATATTATGCCCAATGGTGCCTGCAAAGTAATTAATATATGATGATAAAACACAATTATGCATATCACAATTTTTATAAGGCAATTACAGTATATGTAAGAGCCAGATTTTCAAATTTTGTCTGTGGGGGTGCCAAAGATTCACACTACAGTCATTTAATCCAATGTAGTTAAATTTCTGGGCAGTGAAATGTTTTCCAGGGATTGTTGTTTTTGGGGGTGCAGTCAGCCCATGCACCCCCCAGAAAATCCATCTATAATGGTAAGACGTAAGACTGTTGCCATCCAATTCACATTTTCAGATTACCAGATTACAGTTCTCCCAATAAATTAATTTTTTTATAATCATAAACAACCTTTTTATTTTTCTGCGACATTTCGTCTGTATATTTATGCGGAATGTGTTGGACACATGCTTCAGCTAAGGGTTCCAAAGCATCAAAATAATCTACCAGTATTCTAGAGGTAAGAATGATATAATTGTGCCTTTGTTTCTGCTGGTCACCAATTGATGGTAGAAACTTTATAACAGGTATATCTTTGACATGTGTCTTTGGTCCGACTGAATCTAGAAAAGCACCTAAAGAATAGAGACTTTATTTAACAATGATTACACATGACAGTGGACACTGACATGTATGTAGCCCTCACCTGAAACTCTATTCTCAATGTACTGATGATTTACCCAATGAAAGTTCTTATTTTGAGACTTCAATGTCATATTCTTTCGGCTTACATGAATGTCAATATTGTCAAATGATATGACAAAACCAGGATGAACAGATTTTTTCAGGTCTCTCTTCTCTTGCAATGCCATAGACAATTCATTTCTTTTAATACCAGGGGTCAAGGACAGTTGTTTACACGTTTCTGCAACCGTACATAGAACCTTGTTGTCATGGGTGATTTGATCTTTCGATTTGATAAGAACAGCGTCATGATTTTCCCCAAGATGATCTAGCTTTGCCAATATGTTGCTGTTTGAGTTAGTCACCTTTAACTTATTTAATCTGCATATTGTGGACTGGAATATAAATTACAAATTATTGTTTAGAACAAAAAAGAATGACACAGAGTAAGGGGCGGACCATTAGAATTCCAGGGAGGGTGGCAATAAAATTTTTGCAGCACAAATTTTTTTTTCAGTCTCATGTCTCTGCAGGATTTTTTTTAATGCATTTAACCTCTGCAAGAATTTTTTTTCAAGACTATTTGTACTTTGCTGTTTGCTTGCAGGAATTTTTTTTCTGACGTAATGGCTGCACGAATTTTTTCCAGGCATTTTTCTTTGCACGAATTTTTTTGGGGAATCCCCCCCCCCTCCCTCCCCCTTTCCCGGGATTTCTAATGGCCAGCCCCTAATATTTCAAATATTATGAATGTAAACTATGAAGTAAATGAGATGTGGTTTCTTAAAAAAATTATTTTTTGTAGTGCTGCGCTGTAGTTTAGAGGCGTTACACGCTTGTCTATTTCAACTTTCAAAGATATCGAAATCTATTTTCAGTAAAGTCTAAAGAAATAAATTCAAAATGTGCTACAAATTCGAAAATTCAACCACAGTGATTCAACGCATATGCAATACATAATGAATATTTGTCACATAATTCATAAACCCATCATAGACAAGGACATAAACGTTTTGCCAAGTAATATCGATTTGCGATTCTTAAAGAGGGAAACCCCCTCAGGGAAAACCCTTCACTTAAATATTGCTATGCAGGTATAAAATGATTTATTTATTCTAATTAAATATAAGACCACTAAACAGATTTTATGTATATTTGTTGAGGTCATAGTGATACAATGTAGTTCAGGGTATTCGTGTCAGGTGAGTCAGGCAGGACTTGATTGGGAACTCTATTTTTCATGTACTCCTTTTGTCTGTGGCTGAGCCTTAAATTTTTTTGTTGTAAAATGAATAAAAAAAGTAATACGTAATCAATATACAATAATACATGGCTTACAGAATACAGTAAACTAACGGTTCCAATATATTGTTTAAGTTAAACATTATATCAATTAAACCTTAAGATCAATAGATTACATTTCCTGAGTAAATCTGAAGAATATTAAACGAATTGCTCATAAATAAAGCTCAGTTGTGTTGCTACATAACTTGTAAACTTACTTCGACTGATTTGCTTTTCATGACAATTCCAAGAACTGCAGCTGTAGCATTCATTTTCTCATTCTTCTGTTTGAGTAGTACAGATCCCGCTATAGCAACACTGCCGAACCACAGACTCCCTTTGGTCCTCTTATTCGCAGAAACAGTCATGAGGAAGGAGTAAAATAAAGGCGCCTTTTCCCTCCACTCATTACATAGAAGCTCCAAATCGAACTTTTCCAAATCCGCTTTACTCGTTTTTCTCAACATTGAAGGGCTATTCTTAGAGCACAAACTTATGACTTCTTTGTTCAGAAGTGACAGCGTTTTTTTGAGTACATATTCTTTAACAGTTGGGCAGTTCATCACAGCATTTGCGATTTGTGATGGATTACCATGTGCCAAGGTCTTTCCAATCGACTTTAAACTCTTGCAAAGTGTCTTGTTGAGGGTTTTGCTGGGGTATCGCACTGACAACTTAACAGTTGGCGAATCTGCAAGTTCCCGAGAAATATTTCCTTCAGAAATAGGGGTCGAAGTGAGATGTTTTGGTGCTGTTATAATATGCGGCAACTCATTCCCAATAGGAATAGTCGGTGAGTTGAATAAACCCAAGCAGCTTCGCGGAGAAATTGCAGAGGTGTTTCCAAATTTTAGTGATTTTGCCACGCGATTGAGAACTGTTTGGTTTTCATCACAATTATCAGCGTCCTCTACGATTTGTTGCTTAATTCTCGGCTGTTCTCTGTTCTGAAACGATTCTAGTATTTCCTTTCTAACTTCTTCCAAATGATCAGAAGCACGCTGAAATTTTATAAGTTTCTTGTAGCAAAAGGGTTTGCAAATAAACAAGCCAGGTTGTGCAGAATAACTATGTACATCAACACCAAGGCATGATCTTATGATATCACCAAAATCTATTGAAGATTTGCCAAATATATACACTTTTTTCGAAGTGTCTAACGAACACGTAAAACACCGATGTCTTTCTACCATTTTTTTGGAGTTTCCTGCATTTTATTATTTTTATATTTATAAGAGACATCCTGCTTCGATAATAAATGAAGTCAATATGACAATAGTTAAAAATAGAATGACACTGCACGTGACGAATACTCACTACAGCTTCGCGCCAAATTCTGATTGCATATTACTGTTACTATTAATAGTACATTCCAATCTGCATTCCTAAGCAGGCAGAAAGGAATGTTATTCGGAAGCTAGCAGCCTGTGAGTGGGAATACCCGCGAACAGGCTGCGAGGGAGACTACCAATCTCTGGGATTTTGAGGATTTTCATTAACAGTTAAGTTTGAAGAACAGGCTTGCTGGCATGTTATTTTTTAACTAATGATGATACCTTTCTTCCTAACCCTTTATCCAAACTGTTCTGCATATTCAGAGATTGTTGTGCTATGGATCCAGTGATGAAGCCTGATTTGTGTTTATACCATTCCTTCGATTTCCATTGTTTCACTGTTGACTTACTGACAGTGTCTATTTCCTCCTGGGTGTGAGTCAAGTCAGCAAGAATGTCTACAGAAGATATATTGAGAAAGTTACCACCAGCTCTCTTGTCACATACATGTCGCAACTTCTGCTCCATGATACCATACATTTCTTCCGATTTAATCGGGGGTTTTTCAGACTTTAGACTATTCACTGAAGTGTTACCACTAGATTTTTGAGGTTGGCTGTACAGCTTGGTGAGTAGGGGTAAAATGGTTGGTCTCATACCAGTTTTCTCCAACGATTGTGTGAACGTTTGTATGGCATCATTTGTTGGTAAATCTCGGTCATTTTCATGCCTGACATCAACATCGATGTGTTCGCAGTAGACGTGTTCATTCTTATGTTTTTTTTAGCAGCTGCTCGCATTTTCCAATTTCCAGGTCCTTAACATCACATGGTCTGCTGTCTGTTGTGGGTTTCTTTGTCCATATACATGGTACGTTGGTTGGACTGTCGTTGTCACGCATGTTCAATAGGTCTTCCAACGAATACATGAGAGCAGCAATGTGTTTGCAGCCTCCGTCACGGCCACCTTTACATCGACATCTCGCTTTCAACACACTGCCTCGATTAGCCCCTTTGCCTTCTAGCATAAACCAACAATCATAAAATAACTTTCCCTCATCTGTCTTCTCTTTCATGGCGGGTTTCACCTTACCCATGTACAGATGAACTCCTTCTTTTGACATTGTCTCCATTAGAAGTGATTCAACATATCCATCTTGGAACAACCGATATTCATCAAAGGCTTTGTAAGCTGCTAAACCTTGTTTATCATAATCGCATGAATGAAAGATCAAATAGTTAAAAATATCATACAATCCAAACGGGGGTGAATCGACAAAGTTATTCACGAGATTATGCGACGCAGAAAATGGATCACTGATTTCCATATCATGAATAATAAAACTATGTATGTCTTGATTGTTATTTCCCTTTTCAAATTCAATAACAATGGGAAGCATCATTTTTGCAACCGCATTGGCAATTTCGATCAAAGCTGGTTTTAAGTAGCCATTCACACTTACGCCACGTTCGCGAAGATAGGTTTTAAGATCGTTTACGGACATGTTTTCGAACATCTTTGAGCCTGAACTACTGTACGACATGTCTGCAGCTAAATTCAACCTTTTAAACTTTATCCCATCACTTTTCCAACTTTTAATATCATTTAAATAACGCGATAAGTCACTCTCGCTACACTAAATTGTAGTCTTGTTCGAGTTTGTCCGATTTCCGGTTATTTGACACACGTGGAATGACACATGTTGAGAGTCAGAAAGGTGGATTGGTTCTGTCATGTTACTAAAAGTATTATTAAGATTCTCAGTGCACTGAAATTAATTTTTTTCTGTTAAAATATAGCATGACATTCAGTTTGACAACTTGTTAGTGGTTATACAGTTAAATTGTCCAAGTGTCGATTCTTCACCGAAAAAAATTTAATGTCCTCTTGTGGTCCGAGAAAGTAAAATATTTTTTGTACTCCTGCTGAGCTGTCTAGCTTGGAAATATGTAAATATCGTAGCTAGTTATCTTCTGCCAGCTGCCATATAACAAGTGTCTTTCAATTGTTTTTCAACCCGTTTGAGCATTTTATCTTTTTTTACAATTTGAGAAGCACTTCTACTGTTCTGCATGTATATCTTACTTGGATAGAGATACAACAATCACAGCTTGCGACTCATGTGGTGAATTATTTGATGAAAATAAAAGCATCAAGGATGAAAATTACTTTATCTATATTCAGCAACAACTTGTAAGCCTCTTATTAAATAACAAACTTTTCCCCTATTTAACTAATAGAGATTTAAATAGTATCTGTAGATCAAAGACTGTAAATGATGTGACCACATCAGCATATTGTATAAAGAACATGTAAAGTATGGTCTTAATCCAAAGAATATGTCATTGTAAAGTAAAGTAAAGCATGGTCTTAATTCAAATGATATGTCATTGACATGGAACACAGATGGCATTCCTATATTCAACTCTTCTAATTTTTCTGTATGGCCTTTACAAGCTTTTGTGAATGAGCTACCTCCTCACTTGCGGAGCAAAAATATCCTGTTGCTTGGGCTGTGGTTTGGTCAGAAACCAATTATGAACACCTTCTTGAAAAGTGTAGAAAATTGGAATGGTAAACTTTTTGTTATGAGGTTCTGCCAAGGAAAGTTTTTGCTTTGCTACTATCTACAGATTCTCCTGCTCGAGCTATTGTTCAGAATGTAAAGCAGTTTAATGGTCAGTATGGGCGTGCGATTGGTGTGAATTTGAAGTGGTACCTGTGCCAAATAACAATGGCCCTCCTGTTTGGTACTACCCACATAGAACACCAGTCATAATGCGCACTGCTGAAAAGCAAGCAGAATATGCATTAGAAGCTACTGGTACTACTCCTGTTAAGGGGGTAAAGGGGATGATGTCTGCAGATCTATTACCCACTTTTGATCCAGTTAGAGGCACAGTAACAGATTTTATGCATTCTGTTTGCCAAGGTGTTGTTAGGCAAATGGTGGATACATGGGTTAACAGCAAGTACCATGAGGGTAGTTATTATATTGGTCAAAAGGTCAACTTGGTTCATGAACATCTCCAACTTATAAGTCCTCCAAGTGAAATTCATAGAAGCCCTCGTAGTATCTCTCATAGATGTTATTGGAAGGCATCTATCTGAATGGATGGCTTTTATCTTTTATCGCTTTGTTATTCTTCAAGGAATTCTTCCTTCCTGTTACCTAAATCACTTCTTTCTTTTTGTGTATGAGATTTATACACTGTCAGGCGACTCGATATCTAATGATACATTTCTCTTTCCGAGTTTTGCCTGACAAAATTTGTAATCCAGTTGGAGGAGCTTTATGGGCTTTCAAGTTGTAAGTTCAATGCCCACTGTTTGACAAACCTGGCACATTGTGTTAAGGACTGTGGTCCATTGTGGCCGGGCTACCTCTACTTTCACTTTTGAGGCACACAACCATGTTCTTGTTAACATGTTTCATGGAACGCAGTCTGTCCCACAGCAAATAACAGATAAATTTTTGCTAAAGAGCAAAGTTGCATCAATGGCAAGGACTTGCGTAGATGGTGATGATTTTTCTGTTTTTGTGAAGGACATACTTGTCAGGCTGATGGGGGATGTTAGGTACAAGCATAAGAATGATTGTGATGGGGTTGAGTCTTTTAGGTTCTGGAAAAGTGGTTAGATTAGATGCTCATAGGTTGGTTGCTTTACAAGATCTTTTGGGTATGATTGTAAATAATGAGGTTGGAGACCTTTATGAGAGGTTTGTTTATAATCATCAGTTGTATTCTAGTGTAAACTACACTAGGTCTAAACGGCACACAAATCATCATGTATCTTTCAGACATCCAGTTTATACATATGGCATAATTTTAGGTCTTTTGAATTTCAAACCATCTTGTGGCTGTTCTTTAGAAATCTCTCAGTACTGCCAATGCTCACTTTACATGCAGTGTAATAATTGTGAAAGCTATGGAAGCCAGTCGAAAAGTGCTCTTCATGCAGGGATGTGGCTTTTAATATTTCTAGCCAATTCATTGTTGAAGTTAATGAAACAAATAACGTAATTGCACTTTATCCTTCTCAAATTGAACGTAAATGTGTTTGTCTAACTTTAGAAAGCAAAACATATTTTTGCCCATTGCCATATCATATTTATGGTGACTAGATAGAAAACGTCTTGTAAATCAGATTGTAAATATAATGATACACATAAACTGTATATAACCATAGTTAATAGAAATAAACATGGTTAGAAAGGCCGATAAATTGCAAAGAATTTTATATTCAAACTTTAACTGATGTTGAAATGTAATTCCGACTGCACACATCTTTTGTCTTGCATTTATTAACATTCGAATGTTATGGTTTAGCATCACTCTCCTCCGCAGAGCCTTACAAATTTTTAGTAAAATTGCATAATATTAAGGGGGGGGGGACAAATTATGCAAGGTATGATGGGAAGACGGAAGCTACGTAAGGCTCTGCCATATAATATTTCCAAAATGCCATCCAATTACAGACATAAGAATATTGAATTACTCATGAATTATTCATGGCGACAAATAGGCCGTCTCAGGATGCAAACCTAAAGTTTGCGGTGAATTGGTTTGTTCAAAGTGCATTGAGAACAACGAGGAAGTTTTTTGACGATGTTGGACCGAAGAAACGTTTCAAAGTTTATATAAATAAACATCGCTCCTTGAAATTCAATGACAGCGTATGCACTCTGGGTGAAACGCTGCAGGTAGTGAGACTAGTGAAACAATTGTCGAATCTGCGATTAGAGACGGTATGTAAATATTAAATATATTATTTTTGATTGAATAAAAATACAAAGTATATGTACTATAAAGTATGTATTCATTGCTGTGTCCCCAGTGTATATGTATTTGATTTGGAACAGTGTGTACCTTTTATAATTTGCAACTTTTGGATGAACCTAGTCATTGCAAGGTTGTTGCCTTCTTGGTGGCATAATAAATGGCCATTTATACCACCCAAGGTTTGTAATGTTTGTGTGAATATGTCTACATGCACTGAACTGTGGTAGCTTATATTATCAAAGGTGGCCCGCAGTTATTGGGAGTATAATTTCTGTTGCGGTAACCCTGCCACTTGTACTTTATATGTCTGTCTGTCTGTTTATTTGATGTACTTTATACTGTATCATGGCAAAGCTAATGGGTCATTCCAGAAAACATCCATACCACCCCCAGAGAGGGAATTGTAACCCCCCCCCCTCCCCCCTATTATCAGAAACAATTTTGTCTCCACTGCAAAAATTTCCTCTGTGAGGGGAGTGTGGATCCTTTCTGGAACGACCCAATAAATGAGTTCAAAACTTTCATTTTGGAAATTTTAAAACAACAAATAACAATAATTAATTAGATTTATTATTATAATTGCCAGGTGAACCTATAGTAGTGACTATGGTAACATACAAATATCTTAATTATTCTACAGAATAATTCCATGGATGATGTGTCAATCTAGTATGAACTAATGTACACAGAATACAAAGTGTCATTTGGCAATGATATAAATTGTTCCAATGATGCCATTACTGTTGCTACCAAAAGTTGATGAGAAACTGTTGAAAGTGGAACATTGCCTACAACTCCAGAAAGAATTTCAATGGACGGTGCTGTAAACTAGAACTTGGACATTGAAAGTTTAGACCAGGACAATAGGCAATTCCAGCTTTTAGTTTATGCGTGCAGGGACGATGGGAAGTAAGGTATCACATTGCTGATTATGCTGAAAAAATAAAAATGGTGGCTGTGTAAACACGGAGTGATAGCTTATACTTGTAAATATTGAAATATTTTGGTTGCTTCGGTAGTTTTTATTGAAATTTTTCAGCATAATCAGCACTATGATACCTTACTTCCCATCATCCCCTGCAGGCATAAACTAAAAGCTGGAATTGCCTATTTGATGCTATTGAAGCTCTTGTATCCAGAAAAGATATCATTGTTCATTGTTGTGGTCCCAACTGGCTGCCAAAACAAAGGCATCTGTTTGAGTTGATTAATTAGGTATATCTACAGAAATTTAAAAAAAAAACAGGAGTTATCCAAACTGACATATTATATAGGTGCAAAATATTGAATGTAGCTCTGACTGGCTATTTCCAGCACAAGTATATCAGACCATATTTAATGTATCTTTGTGATTTGGTTAATCCTAGTTATATAATACTATGTTAATATTGGTTAATCCTAATTATATGATACTAACATTATATATTTAGCAAGTTGTAACTTTAATTAGATTGTTGTTTTTATATGAAATTGACATTTCTCCCTGGACATGCATTTTGATTTGATACTTTATGCAAAAATATACTTGAGTGGATAGCAAGGTTTGTGACAGGCTCTATTTGTAAAATAGAGAGAGCAAGATGCAGAAACAAGAATGGGATACAATTGTAAAAACATTTCAACAATTACATATTGGACGAGGATGAGCATGATATCAAGAATTATCCAGACCCTTCGGCAGATAACATAATTTGACCGGTCTTGATGTCATGCGAAACCCAAATTCAATAATTGTTTTATTATGCAATTATGATGTTATTATAATGGCAGGGAAGAAAACCTTGTCAGGTGTCACATTAAAAAATCGTTGATAAACATTGAGGATTGTCTGTAGTTCTTAGCCAATCACAATTGATTCTTTTGAGAATCCAGCAAGATTTCTGGCCAAAGGTGTACATACTGACACAACATTGAATAACCATAATTTTATAATTATATATTCTCCAATTCTCGTCATACTGTTATTGTGTGAAAGAGAAACTACATGAATTTATTAGTACTTTGAACTGGTGCTAGATGCCGCCTTGAATTCCAAAATTTAATTTAGTCTAAGACTATTTCTAGATTAGATATATCACTATAAAAAAATATGTACATTGAGAGATACTACTCAGTATTTAATATTTCAATATTAGTTAGGCGGATATGTGTAGAAATTGTGCATTTGATGATTAAAGCATGGAAACTTGCAACACGATAGTTCTCGATGTGTTCATTAATATTAGGTATGGAGCCACTTACAAAAATAATTTGTTTGTTTGTTAAATGGTGTTTTTAAAATGGTCAACATGGCGGACCGGAAGTAGCTTGCGAATCACATTTCTGGTTATCGTCTGTAGCTAAATATTAGTATACGGAATCCATTTTACATATGAAAAGAATCTTTGTATTAAAAAATAACATTTGTACCCATAATTGGTTGAAAATGCTGGATTAAACAGATTATTATTATGTACCGGAAGTAATTGTTGTTTGAACCGGAAGTGCAATAATTGAAAATCTTATTCTATCTAGAATACAATGTTGCAGATTGCTGAATGTCATATAAAGACGCTATTTAAAAAACAGACAGATAAAGCATATATGTATGAGAGTGATTAATGGTATACATTTACAGGTTTCTATGACAAATATAGATTGTAACCTCTGGAATAAACCTTGCGCGTTTTTGACAGAATATTCAAAATTTTGTCTGAAAATTCAAATTGAGTAAAATGTATTTTTGTGTCATAAACCTGTAAATTTATACTAAAAAAATTACATAACTCACACTGGTTTTGTGTCAGTGATAGTCTTCTCGGCTCCGGATCACTGAATCTAATTGTTAATTGGCACACTCGTCACTGCAAGAGCAAAGCGCTGTGCACTTCAAGTTCGATTTTTTGCACGAGCAATTTCCACGACATCCTTTCGTGCATCCGCACTTTACAAGTTGTCGGCAACTTGCAGTAACTTCAGGTAGGTTGGTCCAAAATGGTTGCCATCCATCGGTTTCTAACACCCAACCCCATTCAGATGGAGACGGCAAATGTGGTCTGACCAAGAGTGTTTGTCCCCAGCAATGACCAGCCTGGTACACAGCTCTCTTGGTGTGCTGTAGTAATGCTGCCTGAGTAGGGGGGATAGCCTCCAAAACTCTGCCTTTCTGACAAAATAACTGCATCCTGGCATCGTTCACATTGATCTTGGTACTTGTCCTATCGTACATTAATATGACGAATCGTTCGATAGTTGACATGCACTCATCGGAAATGATGTCTGGCACACTCGCCAAGGCAGAAAAAACCCGAGTTGCTTCCATACAGGACATCCATGTCGTCCACGCAGACTTCTTTCCTTTACCAGCAAATGACGATGTTGTGTCACATCCTGTAAAGGCATGAAAAAATGGGAGACCCTTTGACATTTCTACTCCCAAGCTGGCCGAAATTTTATGTGCTTCAAAATATCGCAAGTTTTTCCAGTGCCGAATGCCACCCACAATTCGATTGCTGGATCATGTTGTTGAAGTTGGTGGACCACAGCCGTCGCCAGAACAAGCACGTCACTGTCTACTGTTCGAAGCATGATGCTTCGATGCCCTTGGTTGAGTGCGTCGGCAGCGTGTAAAAACATTCTTGTGTCGGCTTCTTCGTGAGTACATGGAGCTAAACGGGATACATCACTACGGGGTTGGTTACAAAGGACTTCCTGGCCATAGGTTGATATGACTTCTTTTTCTCCACTGACAATACGGCTAGCATGCTCCGCCAAGTACTTGAACAGTTCGGATTTGTTCTCATCTAAGCGAAGAAACCCTTGCCAGTCTCTTGGTAGCTCATTATCGCTCTGAACTCGGCGTCGGATTCCGCTGCCCCTCTTCTTTCGTGTTGCTGATTTAAGACTATTGGGAATGTACTCGTCCCACACGATATCTACTCTTCTTGCTCGCTGTAACTGTGCCTCTATGTACGGAATGAAACACAGGATGCGTACTCGGAAAATGTGGTCGCGGAGTTGCTTGGTTTAACCATATTAACAGCAGCAGGACCATCAATGATGATTACATCAATATGCTCTGGTGCGTGATCACGTGGCTGGGAATGAGCTGCTAGACAATCCACAACGTCCGACTTGCTTCCTGGAAGACGGAGGTTTCCACAGTTGGATAGTGATGGTGGGCATGCCTGATTCTCGTGCCTGAAGAAATCTTCCAAATTGCCTTCTCGGGTTTGACATGAAATATACAGCCTTGAAAAAAGCGCACAGTCACTCTTTACAGATGACAGTTGTTGCTTAGTCTTCGAAAGTGTTTTCGGCGGTGGAGAACTAAACAAGGGTAGTTTGTTTTTCTTGATAGGCTCCGACAAAGGAAAAGTGTGATTAACTAGACGTTCGGTGATGTATGTGTCGAACTGACTTTTGCCCAATTCTTCTATCTTCCGTACTGTAGAAACCACTGATGGTGCAGCAACAACTTTGTTGTCAAGTTTATATAATTCTTCACTTTCTTCCAAGAAAGGGTTACTCATTTCCTCTACCGCCGTCACTAACGATTTAGTGTCTTTGAAAAACGCTACTTGGGCACTTCTTGCCTCTTCGTGGTGTTTTCCGTTGGATTGCTTGTCGTTCCCTCCAACCCCCATACTAACTTCAAATTCGTTCACAATTCTTGCTATCTCTGGTCCAGATATCATCCAACGACGAAGCGCACTTGGATTCTCGGTTAATCCTACTGCACCACCTTCACCCTTCACCATCGCGTTGTTCTGTTCATGAGCCTGATCAATAGCCATCGCAGAAAACTTTCTCCCAGTTTTCCGAACTGTAAAGCTGCCTGCACTGATGAACTCTGAGGCAACCTCTGGGTGCATTGTATTCAACGAAATCATATCGCGAAGGTGGATGGGTAGCCATCTTGAATAATTTACGTGATCAAGGGCGAAGAACCATGGGATCATCTTACTCAATGTGTCGACATATAATTGGAAATTAGCTTCTCTGAGAGATCTAATGAAGAGTAGCAACATCAGTTCTAGTTGTAAGGTAATGTACCAGAACTGGAACTGGGGTGTGGAAGCCATTTTCTCCAAACACCAATCATCGAATGGTAGTGATGCGTCTTCTGCCAATCCACTGTACTGCGTATATGCGTGACAAAGCAGGATATACAAACTGCTGGCAGTCAACTGATGTGCGTGTCGAGAACGAGTTACACTCGCAGCTTTTATGAAAGAATCGGCTGTTCCTGGTGAAGCTACTTTAGACTGGATGAGGGCTGATGTCCAACCGCTGTCTTCAAGCCAGTGGCCAAGTAGTCGTAAGAATGCCATCTCGATGTGCAGCCCTCCAAACATCATAACAACGTGGTGCTCACCATAGCTTTCAGGCCAATTCCATTGAATTTGCTTGGCAACGGCATATAATGGTTGATCGAGTGCGATGACGGGGACTTGACCTGGATTAAGATGTGTAACAGCTCGCCTTATCATATCAACTGCATGGCGGATCATAGCAACAGATTTCGATTCATCAGGGAAGAGAGGTAATAACGAAGAAATGGCATGCTCTGTGTACTCTTTTTCTTCCTCTAGATTAGAATGGTATCCTGCCCATGAAATACATTCTCCCTCTTCTAAATTCTGCTGGGTGTCGATAGTGGCTCTAACATTCTCCAACCACAAGAATTCTTCTTTAACAGCGCACATATAAATTGAACCATCTCCTTTCATTTCGCATTGCATTTCTGGAACAGGAGGGTCTTTTTGACGAAGAGAAGCAGGAGGTACATTTGCGTAGGAATCTGGTAACTGTGAAACTGTCTTGGTGGTGATGGTTGATGAAGACTGCTCAAGTACAACTATTTCGCGATCAATCCCAGGACAGTCGGTGGAGACGTGCTGGAAAAGTGATATACCAGTACCATGAAATGAATCACTGGCGGTGGTAGAGCTTGGATTGTGGTCGATATTGTCAATCGCAGCGGTTGTGAACAGCCTTTTGCGAAGATTAGTTGGGCAAACAACTTTCTCTTCTTCAAATCGGCGGCAAACACCATTTCCAAGGTCGGTGGATATGCTCATCACTCTGTCGTAGGATACCGAAAGACCAAGATTGTAAAGATTGTCCACAAGTTCACGACTCCGAGTTTTTGCGTGAACTGAGAGACCCAAATAGATTGGAAGTGGCGTCTCGCGTTTCCGGCTGTGACGTTCGTGTTGATGCGGTCCCTTGCGTCGACGCAAATAGCTATTGTACTGTAATAACTGCGCGATACTAAGTCCTGCTTGAGTAGCATTGGCGTTGCTTGCTTGTGTTTTGATGTTTGGCCCATACAAAATCATGTTAATTAGCGATAGAAGTGACTTTGGTACCGAGTTGTGTTGGCAATCTTTATCAAATAATCCATCGAAACTGTTTTCTATCATCATCATTTCTCTTCTTACAATAGTTGCCGACCGTGCCAGATGCATTGCCTCGTTGTCACAATTTTCACGCGCTCTTCGAAGTGCCATCGCAACATCTTCTTTAAATGCAAGTAAAATGTCACGACCTTGCTTGTGTTCTTCAAGATCAGGAATCATAGCTAATATTCGATCTTTCAACCTGGAAGTGTGGGTGCGACCGATTATATTTGCCCCAAGTTGCTTAAGTCGAGAGGTGTACATACTGGATAAATCAACAAGCTTATGAATTGGGATTACATCTTCCTGTGACCGGGAATCTTCTATGAAAATGACTAATTCAGCAAATGCTATACCTTCTAATTGCAGAGTATGGTCGTCATCTTTATCCTCGGTGTCCACTGCCCTTGCTCTGTTGGAAAGAGATGTTAAGCATGCATTGTGGTATTTGGCTTCAATTGCAACAAGATCACCTGTACTCAATTTAGCAAGAAGATTCTGGTCATTTAAAACAGCCGCGTATTTTCGAACACGAGCATCTAATCCAAATGTAGACGCATTGTGTAGAGGATTGTTCCAACGTTCGCATTCATCACAGATAAAACACCTATTTATGTTCGGTGGTGCTTCACTTCCGGTGTTGGAACGCGTAAATTTCTTACCAATGCCTGAGCTCTGCTCCTCTGTAGAATATCTTTTCTCGGCTCTTCTTAGCTTGGTGATGTTAAATTTGGTATTACAGCTCTTGTGCCAACGGGCCTTTTCACTTATAAATGTTTGTTCTATTCCACTCCCCTCATCCAGCCTCTCTATATTAAGTGATAATGGCATACATCCTAGCTGTCCAAATCTAACGATGTTGTCTGCGAGAGTTTTGTATCCAGCTCCAACATCTGTCCGCTTTGATTCTGCGGGACATTGCAGTACTTCTTCTGTGTTTTCCTGACAGATAACACATTGTTGCCAATCTGTTTTCACCACATCCTTGGCCTTAGGCAAAGAACTCATCCTGGCAAAAATGCGAGATCTAAAAAACGAGGTTCACTTATTCATGCGGTCCCTTGGTCAACGTTTATTCTGAATTAGTATAAACCTCCTTTTGAGGTATGGTTTCTAACTATATCTTTCAAAATGGCGACCACTTTTTAACAATGCAAAAAATTCTTCAAAACTGATTGTAAACACCCCTCAAATACCTTGTATACTCTATCAGATTAGTATACTAAAATAATTAGACAACTTGCCCTGGCCTCTTTCTTTATAAGCGATGGTTAATATGTATTTGCTTCGTTGAATTGTCAATGATAATACAAGTGATGTTTTTATACTTACAGTTCATCTAGTTGGCAATGTATCAACTTCTTTCGTACATGAGATGTAAATGATCACGTAATATTCAAAAGGTCCAACGTTTTAACTGTATATATCTTTATGTTCCGAGAATAACAACTATTTGGTAAAATCGTATTAATGCAATAATGGGAAATAAGTTTGCCCAAGCCAAGTTAGGTAAAAAGAACATGCGCCATTGACACTGTGATCGTCTGATTGACGTATGAAGCGCTTGTACTCAGTCCAGCGCAACAGTATATTTATCTCGGTCGTGGTGGGTCAGCTTATTGGCAAGTATTTTTTGAAGTGGAGGCAAATTATTTATATTGTTTTTCAGAAAGTAGAAAACCCTTGGTAATAATAAAATTCAAAATATAGTTAAAAATACGTATTCCAGGTAATACTGACAGGTTTTATTGTTATTAATAAAAATAAATTTACATACAAAAATATAATAAAATAAGCCTTTTGTGTAAAATCAGTTTATTATTTGTAATGTTGCTGCCAATTCAAGTCTTTTTTTAAAAAACTAATGTGTGTTTTAAGCATTTTTGGTTTTTGAAACGTCACTTCCGGTCAAGATGGCCGCCGCTTCAAGTCGTCACATAAATGCCTCTCCATAACCTTTTCAAATATTTTTTTCGAGTGGCTCCATATCCAGAAAGGTTCTAGATGGTCAAGTCTTCGTCTACACCAATTCTGGTGCTTTAATCACGAAATGCACAATTTTGACAAAATTGAACACATATCCGCCTAACTATATATTGTATAAAATTCATTCAACTTACCCTCGATACTTGAATTGTGAAGGGAAACTTCTAAAATGTCCACATCGCTGCTTTCCGAGTCGTTTTCTTGCCTTATTTCAGCCATACCCGAGAACCGCAGAATATACCCGAGAACCACGCATTATATGGCAGAGTCTTCGTTACATTTTGTCAACCATTGATCTCACCCCCCCCCCCCGTCGCAAACCACTAAATATCCTCTACTATCCCTACAAATCCTATATAATTCAAGACTCTGCGGAGGAGAGTGGTTCAGCATTGAAACTAACGTTTTTATTGGGTAATTGCCTGTTTTACAGAATCCGAGTGCACAAATTTCCATAAACTTCCAAACCATGTCTATTTTCTACCAACTATGACATAACAAAGATAAGCAGAGAAATTATCCAGACATTCTATGAAAATTTTAATGCCAAGTAACATGATATTTAAATGGACCAATTGGAATTATGACAAGCTTGATTTATCAGATAAAAATTCCAAAGTGTGTGGATGTTGTGGAAACAAGTATTCTAAAATATGCCTATTCCATAAACAATGTTTCCATACTTTGTATTTCTTAGTATTTCTTACTTGATTCTGAAAAACTTTGCATGGTTAAAAAGATTTAGGCCTTCACAAAATTTCTTGTTATAAGTTAACCTTTGAAAAATGTTTGTTTGTTTAGTGTTGTGACCAGTTCACAGCGAGAACTGAATGAACATTTTCTGCTATTTATACATTTTCTGCTATTTATACATTTTTGTAGCATGGCAATGGACCAATCCCCAATTAACCAAAATTTTGAACTCAACAAGTCTAGACAAGAAATTCATCACAGCTTGAAAGAGCATCACAAAATTAGTAATATTCCAAAGCTTTGTTGCAAAATGTTGTAAAATGCGGATAATATAGCCTTGCAAAGTTTGCAATTTTCAGTCATTTGGCTTAAGGCAATTTTGTTTAGATTACAAACGGGAAATGGTTACCACTTCTGTGCATAATACAAAATGACTGAAAATTGCAAATTTCGCAAGGCTATATATATTATCAGCATTTTGCAACATTTTGCAACGAAACTTTGGAATATTACTCATTTTGTGATGCTCTTTCATGCTATGATGGAATTTTGTCCAGACTTGTTGAGATCAAAATTTTGGTTAATTGGGGAATGGTCCATTACTTTGCTTAGTTTAGTTTACCATATGGCAGGTAGTTTACTATACATATTCACCAACTGTAAATTTAATTGAAACAAATAATATTTCTTTAAAAAATCTAATTTGCTATTAATTAAATAACTATTATGTTGTGTGTTAAAATTTGGCCAAAATTAAGGATTTAGGAACAGGTGGGAAATTTGTCGTCGCTGACCAAAAAATTGCGGGCAGAGACAAAGCTCATTGCATTTACATTCAAAACAAAGCACAAAGTTAGCAAGAAGCTGTTTTAGCTGACGATTTTTTGCTTTCCATTCAACGATTTACAAATTATTGGTTATTCTTTTAAAAGTCGATCATGAATTCTTTGTTTTGGGATGATTGTTTTGTAATCGAGTGATTGGAAGAAGTTAATATGGCGACGTGAACATGGGAGTAAATACCGTATACGTCGATCTATGGCTTGTTTAAACCGTAATAAACGAACTAAGACGTGATTTGAGAATGAAATGTAAGTTGAAATTAACATTATATACCTCAAATTTTCCATCCTATGTTTGTTAATGTAACTTCAGCTGTCTAAGTTCAAAATACAAGCTCGCGAAATTTGACAAATTTTGAAAATGTGTAAAAATAGCTTGACTTTGAACTGTATTTTCTCAAAAATAGCCCGTGGCCTCAATTTCAAATATAGCTAAATGAAAAGAAAAAAGTTTTCGGCGTTTGTAGGTATCAAACATATCGTCAGGAAAATAGGGGCTCACAATGTTTTAGTTCAGTCTTTGAGACCCAGTTGCTTCGCACGTGTTGTGGTCAAATTTTTGCCAAGAATCAAAGGCCGAAATGTGAACTTCCTTCATGAAAACCGCTTCGAGAAGGGTCTAGTTTGAAAATTTAGCTATTAATTTCGATTTCATGAGCATATTTTGGTTACACGTTAAGTATTTTTGTGCTTGATGCGATTCAAAATTTGTTGTATATTCAAGCCCGGCTTTTGTTTAATTTTGGTGATGACCGGAACAGAAATAAAGATATTTTAAAAACTGGCCGTGGCCTCACGATAAAACTTTCTACAAATGTTCTCTGTTTCATGTACTTTTATTTGATATCTTGGGTATAAGCGTAAAAATAGGGGCTCATACAGTTTAAGAGGTTGTAAAATGCATGACTTGCCTCTATTTTCATGTAAACATTCGAAATTCTTCGACAGCAAAGTAGCAACTGTTTCAGATCGAATGCAGACGGACAGCCCACCAGCGACAATGGCAGGGTACTGAAATAGAACGTCGCTAAAAAGTTCTGTATGATTAATTTAGATCATATCCACTCTTTCAACATAAAACAATCATTTATTTTGCGTACAAACATTTTGCAATATTTACACGATTGTGCTTTTTTGTAAACACGCGTTGCGTGTATTCCACGCAATTGCGTGGCTCATTTTACTCGCGCATGCTCAGACAAATTTCCCACCTGTTGGATTTAGGATGTTTATCAGATTCTATAAAATATTCTATTTAATATACAGTACACTGTTTATTATAAAATATTCTATAGAATATATTATAGGATGTTTTATATGAATGTGCTATAGAATATTCTATAGGACCTGGAAGTTCTATAGAATATGGCAATAGGATATTTCTTAATTAAGCTAATTTGTTAACAAATTATTCTATAGAATATGTTATAGGATGTTTTATATGAATGTGCTATGTAGTTACTAAAACAAGGAATTACCTAAAACGACCTAAAACCATCTAAAACGACCTAAAACCCATCTAAAACGACCTAAAACGATCTAAAACTACAATCCTGGACAAAACGTTGTGGACAACCCACAGAATTTGGCCTCGAATGGTGTTTTTTCTAAATAATTATCCCCCCGCTCCCCCAAGCCAATGTTGAATGGGATTTTTCATCAAATACGAAGTGCGGTTAAGTCGGATATACAACATTGAAGAGGGGGAGTGGGGGATGTGCAAGTAAATTCAAGTTTTAGGTGTTTGTTATGATTTTTGCAAAAGTGGATTAAGTGTCCACATGAGTTTTGGCCAGGATTGTCTGAAAATCACTATAGAAAATAATAAACGGTTTTTGTATCTAATATGACACAAAACGGAAAAAAATATGCTTTGTAAGTAAAATTGCGCTTGTTTGCATCTAAATAATAATCCATTTCTGATCATCTTTTGAAAAAAAAATTGTCCGGTAAGGAACAGATTTCCTAACCAAAAAACGCGCCCACGAGCCTAATTTTTAGGAATAATTATGTGACGAGAATGACAGGAATATATATAGTTCCAAGTTTGTTTATGCATTCTTGAAGTGGTTGAGAATCAAATTTATACAACTAAATGGCATTTTTCATACAAGTATTATAATTTGTTAACTGCAAGTCTTGCTGCTTACAATATATGCTAGTATGTTTGTCTGTTTTAACCATATATTACAGCTTCCTTCTGACAGTGCAATTTCAAGGTGCACCTAAAACTTGCTGAATACAATGCTTGACAGAAAACTATACATGATTTAAGGCAGGAACTAAACATCTGAATTATATATATATCAAGTTGCAGGGCTTTGCTATAATTGTTAATTAAGTTGATATGTTATACTTTCCGATCGAGTGACGTAATGTGTAACATAATATTCAAAGTTCGAAACACGGTCTACACTTTTTTTTGCAGTGATTTTATAAGTATGTAAGCGCGCAATCGATTACAAATATAGATTAAAAGGTTTGTCCAATTACGTTTTGCACCAGTATGCAGCAAAACATATAAAATCAGCTATACCTTAAAAATTGCCACGGTCTACACACAAAAATCGTATTTTCATGAATACTAATGAGCTATGATCTATTATATTCAAAGAGCTACTTTTAATATGTAGACCGTGGAAACTTTTTATTTCTCTACTGTGCAAATTACGAAAACATTTTAATAACAAGTATAATATGTATAGGTAGTTCCCTAAGAAGAAATCGTTACATTTCAATGCAGCAATTGTGTAGTAATATATTAGGGCTGTGTATAAAAATATAGGCTGTTCAAAACTACAAGAGTCGTTAAAATCAGTAAATATGCAAAAATACAATAATGGGATTTTTCATCAAATACGAAGTGCGGTTAAGTCGGATATGCAACATTGAAGAGGGGGAGTGGGGGATGTGCAAGTAAATTCAAGTTTTAGGTGTTTGTTATGATTTTTGCAAAAGTTTCAGATGCAAAATCTTAGTGTTTATTGCTATTTTGTTAGAGGAATGAAACTAAATGGAATAGCATTTTGATTTTTGAGAGTAGGAAACTGCAACAAAAAATGCGTAACCATGGTTGCTATGGCAACAATGACGTTTCAAAATGCCTGCTAATTTGCATTAAAATTAATTTAATTGAGAAATTTTGGATCTAAAGAATATTTTAAAATTGTCCTGATGATTGCTCATACTGGAAAAAAACTTTTAATAAAATAAAAATTGGGGTCACTGACGTTGTTTTCGAATTAAACTAGTTTAAATGCAAATTAGCAGCCATTTTTGCCATTGTTGCCATAGACCATAGTGACCACAATTACGGACTTTTCCATTTATAGAGTTTGTGATTCTCAAAATACTGTTGTATACATGACATCTGGTTTATGTACAAAATTTTTTGGTCTCAAATGTGTCTTCCACTTTTCAAGAAACTGTCTATGACTATGGGTATATGACTTTAACATTATAACATTTTTGCTATTAGGGAGTGTTCATTATTTATACTTGGGGTTGGTACCCAAGAGAAACTAATTGAACAGAGAAAAAAACAACCACCCACCCTTTCGGTCAACCATTTTTTCCCCTACCCAACTATTGCACGGACTTGGACTTTTATTTTACCCAATCCAATTTCAAAATTATACAAGTATTTTACATGTATACATATATTTTATTATACAAGCTGGGCCACTATGGTATAAACAGTACTATATATGCAAATTTGGTGCACTAACTGAATGTCAAATATAATCATTTGTACCTTCACAAGTTCATATTATGTTCCCAAGCCTCCAAGTTCCTGCAGTCCTACCATATCGCGTTATAATCATAGGGGATGGGGAGTTGGAGTTTAGTTTTCTATATGGGGAATGAATGGATATTTCCTGGAATGACCCATTTTGTTAAATAAATGATTTTCATATTTTGTTCAATTCAAGGTTTGTATTGAAAATAATTTACCCAACCATAGGCTTTGTTCAAAAAATATTTACCCAACTCTTTATACCCCAGAAAAATGGCCTACCCAACCCATTTCTCTTCGGTACCAACCCCGGGTATAAATAATGAACACTCCCTTAGGTGGTTTTACGAGCTGCTGATATGCAGATCGTTTTAGGTAGCTTCATAATATCGTTTTATCAGTCGTTGTAGATAGTTTTGGTCGTTTTAGATTGTTTTATTGGCCGTTTTAGATCGTTTTATTGGCCGTTTTAGATCGTTTTAAATCATTTTACTGGTTGTTGTAGATCGTTTTAGATGGTTTTAGGTCGTTTTTAGATCGTTTTAGGTCGTTTTAGATGGTTTCAGATCATTTTATTTGTGGTTGAAGATCATTTTAGATGGTTTTAGGTGGTTTTAGGTCGTTTTAGATGGTTTTAGATCATTTTATTGCTCGTTGTAGATCGTTTTAGATGGTTTTAGGTCGTTTCAGGTGATTCCTTGTTTTAGTAACTACGGATCGAATGTGCTATAGAATATTCTATAGGACTTGGAAGTTCTATGGAATATGGCAATAGGATATTTTTTAATTAAGCTAATTTGTTAACAAATTATTCTATAGAATATATGTTATAGGATGTTTTATATGAATGTGCTATAGAATATTCCATAGGACCTGGAAGTTCTATAGAATATGGCAATAGGATATTCTATAGAATTGGAAGTCCTATAGAATATTCTATAGGACTTAGAATATTCTATGGCATATTCTATAGGATTCTATAGAACAAGGAAAAATCTAAAGACGAATATAATACACTTGACACAGATATCACTGAATATGAACTTCGCAACACTGCATTGAAATTAAAACTGAGAAAAGCTGTATAATCAGACAAAATAAGTAATGAAATGATAAAATCTAGTACAGACATCCTTTCAGAAGGTTTTATTAAACTGTTCAACAAAATCATCGACACACGCATTTTTCCCCAATCATGGTGTGAAGGTCTCATTACCCCAATTCTCAAATCAGGAGACAAACAAGATCCAAATAATTACAGGGGAATTTGTATTTCCAGCTCTCTAGGGAAATTTTTCTGTTCAATTCTTAATAATAGACTGATGAACTACACAAAACAAGAAAATATTATACAGCCCTCACAAATAGGCTTCATGCCCGGTACGTAACAGAGCAGCTGACCACATACTAACATTAAAAACACTACATGATAAATATGTGAAACAACATAAAAATAAAAAATATATGCTTGCTTTGTAGATTTCAAAAAAGGTTTTGATTCTATTTGGCATGATGGCATTCTCTTAAAACTATTAGAAAACAAAATTGAGGGAGATTCTATGATCTAATTAAAAACCTGTACATGAATACAAAATGTGCAGTGAAAATTGGAGATCAAAGAACCTCGTTCTTTTCTTACAGTAAAGGAGTTCGCCAAGGTTGTGTATTAACTATTAAGTCCAATATTATTCAATTTATACATCAATGAACTACCACAATTATTTGAAAAAACAAACTCTGATGCCTTTACACTATCAAACAACAGTCCAATAAATAGCCTCCTATATGCTGATGATTTAGTTATACTATCTCAATCACAAAAGAGGGTCCTGAAGGGGTAAAATGGGAACTGGGATTGATCTAATTTTAGACTGGGAAAATGGGATTTGGATTGCTGGGACTGGGATTTGGCCACTGGGAATGGGAAATGAAGTCCTCAAAAATGGGAATGGGATTGAGGTCATGCGAGTTGATTCCCAATTTTTCTACATTTTAAGTGTTTTAAAATACAATTTTGATCCGTTTTCAGTGTCTTTGGTCATGATTTTTGTTGTTAACTATATTATTCACAGCACTACCTGCGAACAGGCATACTCTGGCGCCGGGAATTCTGGGTTTTCTGATTATGTGTGTCTCAGAATGCTAGATGTGAACCCTAAGTAACAAAAATGCGGGTGATATATAATTTTTGACATGACGTCATTTTTTGTTGTTGAGAAAATTGATTGGTGATTTATAAAAGCCTTGCTAAGCCCCATATTTCTAACTTCCATAGATATTTATATTCTTGTTTATGACAAAACACATGTATACAAACGTCTTAAGAGTTAAGTCTAGTTGAAGTAGATGTGCGCATGCATACACTCTACCAACCAAAAACAGAACAACGAATCAAGAATCAGAAGACAGAATCACAGAATGCGGGTGAACTGCTATAAAATTTGCTAATGCAGGTGATTTTATGTGCCAATTTTTCCGTGTGATGATTCCAAAATGCGGGTGTCACCCATTCAATGCGGGTGAGTTCACATATCTGCAAATGCCATTTCCGGGATTCAAATTAAAAAATTTTCTGTGCCTTCGGCACGAGCCCCCCCCCCCTGATATTTCATAAAGTGTCCACTACTTGCACACACAGTGGCTTAAAAGGTCTTAAAACTGTTTATTCTACCGATAAATAAAGGGTTGTTTATTGACTGGGATTTCAATAACTCGGACTGGGATTTCTAATGAAAATCCAACTGGGACTGGGATTTTGCCAAAATTTCAGGTGGGAAATGGAATTGGGACCCCCCTCCTACAGGACCCTCACAAAACCGTCTTCAAAATTGTCTAAATACACTTCATACCTGGAGTAAAAAATGGCTACTATTAACTTCAAAAAAACAAAAGTCATGATATTACAAAAACATAAAACTAAGCCAAAAAATATAAAATTCAGTATTGGAAATAATTACCCATGCAATCTTCATCGAATATACCTACTTAGATATAAAATTGACTCCAAACACAAAATTTAATAATGCTTGCCAACAACCGAGTGAAAAAGCAATTCATGCTCTATACAAAATATCATGCTCTATACAAAATACGCAAACAGATTGATTTTAATTCACAATCTACCACCAAAACTATAGCATGTAGGATCTTTCACGGTGTAATCTCTCCAACATTACTGTATAATTCAGAGATATGGGGAGCATGTGCCAAAAATGATTTTACAAAATGGGATAAAACCCAAACTGAAAAAACAACCTAAAATTCTGCAAACTTTATCTAGGAGTTAATAGAAAAGCCAGTAATAATGGAAGTAGAGGTGAACTGGGAAAATTTCCATTAATAATACAGATAATTAAGAAAATACTCAATTATGTTACAAATTTATACAAACTCCCAAACTCTTCTACACTTGTGAAGCAGGCATTTCTCAGCTCCAAAGAATTATACCTAAATGGTAAAGAATCTTTTTATTCAAATACTGTAAATCTATTGCATAAACATTTCCCCACACTGGAAAAAACAGTCGATTTAGAACATTTTATCAATGACAACAAAGTAAAAAATATAATCGATCAAATAACAATTAACTAGAAAATACATGCATGCAAAAACCCTCACCTTACTGACAAAACATTATGTTTTCCGAATATGAAAAATTGAAAGTATAGTTGTCATGGTAACACGATAATTTTAAGAATAGTTTTGAAATTGAAAAATCCCCACAAAATATCACTTTTAATAACAAAATTTGGCCCTTCCAAAGAACATCATTTACATGACCGTCAGTACAAAATACTCTATTTTTAATAATTTATACTGAGAATGCCTCCCAAAAGACAGCAAGCATGGAAAGACCTAGAAAACAAAATGAAAAACAAGCAGATTAAGGTGAATACAGTACAACAACGGGGAAAGAAAGCTGGTTCTGCACCACACGAGCTAATAGTACAGCGCTTGGCATCTGAGCCGGATCACAAACAGACGTTAAAACCAGTGCAACCGAGAGAATTTGTGGCTTATGAGTACGAGGATTTAACATTACCAAATCTGAAGAAGGCATGTGGAGCCCATTTTCGCCTGCCAGCCAGTTCCTGCGATGTTGTTGTGACGAACAAGTGACCTTCATGTACCAACATCAACCAAATACCGCACAGGAAGGACAAGGTAGGCAACTTTTTTTCACAACTGTAGAATAAACGCATTCAGATATTTAAAATTCAGGGTGTGCAATTTCCAGGGTGTGCCAAATTTCGGTACTTAGCCCCAAAAAACAGATATATTGTCCTTTGCGCGGAAATATTTAACACACAAATAAGACTGGGGCCCAACAGCACCTCGGGGCAATTCCCCCCCCCCCCCTTTCGGCGGCCCTGGCAATTTCACTGAGGATAAATATCCAGTATAAATGTATATTATACTATATAAATCATGATCCACTGCCCTGTCTCAATGTTCTGAAACAGGGAAATTATCAGACTGGAACTTGTTCTCACTATCCTGTCTGCTGGTATGTTTTGTCTCTAATGGTAACTTTCCAAAATCAAATATAAAAGTTTCAACACACGACTTTCACATATATCATAGATACACACTGGTATGTGCCTTATGTTTCATTTACCGTACAATCCTGACAGTAGCAGTCCTCTTGAAGTAGTGGTCCCCTGTAAGTAGCAGTCCCCTAAAAGTAGCGGCCCCTGCATGTTGTACCCTCCCCTCTGAAAGTAGTAGCAAATTTGTTATGTTTAAAAAATATTAGAAAGTAGCTACCCCCTGAAAGCAGCACCCCCCACCCACCCATAAGTAATGAGTGGGCTATAAACAGTATTTGATAAGAGTACGCTTCCATGATAAAATGATGATGATAAGGAAAAGAAATGATGAAGAAGGAAAAAAGCTTGGTTTCAGGGAATTGTAACAGGATGATAACAAGAATATTCAACTGGTGTTAACATATTTTACCACCCAAAAGTGACACCCACCTGTAACGCACCTATCAATGTTAACCCCCAGAGGGGGTGGGGGGGCATAAGTGGGGTATTTGCTCATCAATTGCATCCCCTCCCTGGGGATTTTGATTAGCATTTGGCCCTGAGTTGGGGCAATTTGAACTGAATGACTTTTATTAATATAATATTTATTGCAATTTTGGTGGGGCATTTGACCAATATTTGTTGCCCGACGGTGGGATTGAAATTTGATTGAAAATTTGCTCAAAAAGCAAATGCCCCACCTATGCCCGACCACCCCCCCCTCTGGGGCTTAACATTGATAGGTGCATAAGTAGCCTCCCTCCAAAAGTAGTGGCTCCTAACAGCAGATGAAACCAGAGTGGGGGGGGGGGCTACATTAAAGGATTCGACTGTATTGTAAAACTTGGGATATTTGGGTCAAATGCATATAATCAATACAAAACAAACAGGGGGAGTAAATTGTGTTCACATTGTGTCTCATTATTTGTTTAATGATAGGTGTACCTTGTGCGATTTAAATTAGAAAGCACTGAGCAAGACGGGGAGGAGTGGTCAATTCAAAGCGAGTTACAAAATAGCATGCCTGAATACCTTGCATCTCCAAGTAACAGTGAGAAGGATGAAGATATTGAAGAAACTGTGTACCCAGCATCCATTTCTATTGATGCATTGATGAAAGCCGGGCAGCTTGTTAAACCCAGGAAAAAGAACCATGTGACATTAACGCTAGAAAAGTTTAACATCAAGGACCAGGAATGGGTGACAGTTAAAAATCCCCTTGATTTGGTGGTGGAGACTGATAGCTTTTCCTCTGGAGGATTCCGAAATGCTTTTCTGGGAGTAAGTAAAGATAAAGATAAATGGGTCATCAAGACCTATAATGATAAGGCTACAGATACCATCACTGGAACATTAGAAAGCACTGTTGAAGACCATACACGCAAACAGATCCAAATGCATTGTGCTGCCTAGGCACCTGGCAAAAATGTTTGGTACCAAACCACCTGAGGAATTTGGCCAATGCTTCACATTCAATCATGCATACTACACACTATACCAAGGCCAGCCAGCAACTGTTGAGGAATTTGTTGAAGGGACATTTAGGAAGTATATTAATAACAATGGCAAAGTATGCAAACAACCAGAAACTGGCAGCACTGCTGATATGAAGACCATTTTTGAAAAGGCAGAATGCCCAGTTCATTTCTCGTATGTTCAAAGCTCAGAGAAATTGATGCTTCTTGATCTTCAAGGTGCAAAGTATCATTTGTATGATCCAGAAATTGCCACAACAGAATTGCATAGTGAGAATGACGAGGTTTACTTCTGCTGTGGTAATCTATCAACCATCAGTATTGGTGAATTCAAAGAAAACCACAATTGCAACAAATTCTGTGAGATAATGGCCCTAAAACGTGAAACCTTACTTTTCAACAGTACTTGAAGAGTGACGGTGTATGCATAGTTTCACACAGCATATAAATAATTGAGAGTCAAGATTTGAGGATTATCAATTTAATGATAATTTTTACCATTCGTTTTAAATATATAACAATAAAAACATATTACAGTACATTATAAAGGACATATAATTATGTTACAAGTATAGGAAATGAAACTGCAATGTTATGGAATTGTTATGTTATATGAAACTGTTTTTTATGATATTATCATACCCAAAGATCTGTTAATTATATCTCTTTCTTGTGTTATTTTAAGATGCAAATGTGAATATATCTGCATTTTCACTTGCGAGAATTATTCAAAGTTTTGATGAGGATAGTAATTACTGATTACCTACCATTGACCTTTAATGAATTCTGACTATTATTTACAGATGTAATCACAATCTTAGACTGTGATTACTTAGGAACAGAAAATATCATTTTACATTCACATTAACTGACTTGATGACTGCTGGCAATGTGTCTTCAGGAAAATGTAAGTTGTGGCGGCATCATTTGTCTTGGCAGCATCAATTTCTGGGATTATTCTTTCACATTCTGCTCTCACATCTGGTGTCAAAAAAATCATCTCCTACACCCATGACACCAGAGAGCTCAGCAACTTCGTCAAGTGCTTCCTTGCTTACTGGAAAGCCTGTTACCAATACATGTACCAAAAAATACAATTTCTAAAGAATCGTAACAGGGATTATAAAATGTTTGGAAAAATGATGATATGTATTGTAGGTGATGACCTCTATGAAGAGAGGTTTGTAGTTGTATAAGAGAAAGAACATGATTATGTATACATACCACATTGTTCTGCCCCATACTCTTCTGGAAATGCATACAAGTGGTTAGGTATTCCTTTAGGCATTTGAGCATCCTTTTGGCACCTAACTCTGTGTGAATTCCATATTGTCTCCCAGAACACTGTCATCTCTTTCTCAATTATAGGTATGAATACAAATGCCAAAAGATCTCTTTAAAAGAAATATAGAAGTAGTTAGTTTTAGAACTCTGAGGCAAAATTTGGAATTCTGATGCTGGACAATTTTATTCATCTTAGTGAGAATAAAATTGTCTACAATTTTATTCATCTTAGTAAGATGTTCCAGTAAATGAAGCTTTAAAATGTAAAATATAAATTAAAACATTATTTCAATCTATGTCATATTACCTGTCACTCTGATTGTCTGGTTCATAATGACCTTGTTCAAGTAACATTAACAGCTGTCTCTTGAAATATTTCTCTAGACGATGATGTAGCTCACGCCACCATCTCTCAATCTGTACAAAATAACAAAACAGGTTGAAACATCAGAGTTTGAATTTTACAAGTAGCTTAAACCTTTGACTCTCTACAATCAATCATTATCTTGTTAGTGCTATTCCACACTGGGTGACCTGACACTCAATATACTACATATTATGATTTGGCTTTACATATATGTAAAGTGTAGACCAAATAAATAAATAAATACGAAATATTCTGTTCAATATATTATGGTATATCTGTACATTAACCCATTGAATGGCAGCACTCTCCCCCTGAAGAGTAAAATCACCTGGCATTAGACAGAGTAAAATAATAAAGCAGGGCGCATTGCCACTTAAAGGGTTAATGGGTATTCATGAAAAGCAGTTATATAATAACTACAGTGAAACACACAATTTGATTGGTCAACAGCCGTGCAGGATCAGGCTACCCTGCATGAGGAATTAAAATGCCTTCGCGGGATTCTCAAAATGTCATTGTTTCACTGTAGTTATTTTATAAAACAATTACCAAATTATAATTGGTTTTGTTTGTGGAAACACCACGTAAATTTATTACTGCAAATCTTTCGATCCGTAAGCCCGGATCTTCATCAGTGCTATATAATATGTGACTTGTTTAATTCACATGCTCTTTTTATATACAAGAGTGTCGTGATCTGTTGGCTCGCGTCATTTGAAATTTAATTAAACGGCACATCGACCACGTCATTTCAAAACGTAGTGAAGTGATTTCAATTAAAGCGTGCGCATCCAAGACAAGAGAAATTAATTTTGCACATTAAAGAGAGCACGCCACATACTATCTAGTGGCTTTCCCTCCTGATCTATAGTATTGTGCTTCTCGATTTGTTTTTTTCTTCAAAGAACTTAATTACCAAATTGTTTTCCAAGCAGGATAGCGTGATCCATGCACTTGGGATGTTGTTCGACTTTCGGAAAGCGTAAAAATACACTCGCCTGTGGCTCGAGTATTTTTACGCTTTCTGAAAGTCTCGCGACATCCCTTGTGCATGGATCACACAATCCTGCATGGAAAACCATTCGGTATTCCTTTATTATGACTGATGCATATAAAAAATTATAAAAATTACGATTTTAATTAACTGCATGTAGATAATCACCTTGTTGTTGGTAGATGGTCCATAATGAACAGTTTCTATAGCAGTGTTATCATCAACATTACCAGAACTATATTGCCTCAGAAAGGCATGAATAGTGGCCATTTGACCTGTTTCTGTTCCTTTGTCAAGCCTCAGGTGGTCACTTACAACTGAGAATGTAAAGAAAACAATATTAAACATTAACTTGGATATTATAGAAACACAATTATATTATATTATACAGAGACAAATATGGATGCACTGAAATATAAATACAAGATACCTCTAGTATTGTACAGGTTCTCTAGATACCATCTTCCTATTAACTTGGGGTCTGAATTAGAATTCCATAGTTTTAGGTACACAATATAGCCACTGAAGACATCTTGTAAACCATATACAGCTAGTGGAAATGTGTCATTCATGAAACCCATTAATTTGTCATGGCCATCTCCAGAATGTGTATGATTTGAACCCTGCATAAACAGATTAAATCCATCAAATTACATTTCCTGCATTTTAATGGTTTTATTCAAGATTTTACAACAATCTGTTGTCTGAGTGTCAATGTTTTACAAATTCAATTTTTTAATTTAATCTACAACATGTATGATTTGTACCAGTCCCCCCCAGGGGCATAGGAAGCGGGGGGGGGGGGAAGAAGCGGGGGGCCTCCCAATATTTTTTTGGGAGGATTTATATATATATATATATGATAGGAAGTAAAATAAATACATATTTTATGTCTCTCAGGTAATATATAAACGATGGAGTTCTCCGAGAGTAACATCACATACGTACCCTTTTCTAGATATATGCAAAATTAAAAGCAAAGATTAACATACGATAGCATTCCTCCACTCGTGAGCTCATTTACCGAAGCAAATGTCCAGGCCTTGTGACCCTGGATGGGCACTTAAAGGAAGGAATACACACACACATTCGTACGATTATTTAAGGTGACGCCACATGAAATGTTACCTGTTATGCTTCAATTATCCAACAATATGTCTCAACGCAACTCATCTCCTTGTCGCCATATTGTTCAAACAATATCAGGAAATAAGTAAATGAATAAGTCAAATACTTTCATGTGGCGTCACCTTAAATAATCGTACAAATGTGTGTGTGTATTCCTTCCTTTAAGTGCCCATCCAGGGTCACAAGGCCTGGACATTTGCTTCGGTAAATGAGGTCACGAGTGGAGGAATGCTATCGTATGTTAATCTTTGCTTTTAATTTTGCATATATCTAGAAAAGGGTACGTATGTGATGTTACTCTCGGAGAACTCCATCGTTTATATATATATATATATATATATCTGCAATCGTTTATTGTTATTTTAATAACAACATTTGTTGCATGTATATATAAGTATGACATATTTTAATATACTTTAAAAAGTGCGAGTTCTATTGCATTGAAACCAAAAAATGTACCTCTTGGCAAGAATAGTTTTAGGTCTTACCAATGAAGTGAATGTGCCCGTTGCTCCCCTTCTTCTCTTTTTAACGCCAACATTTCCTCTTCGTTCAAGCCCATCCGGGTCAATAGCCCCATAACGTTGTGAACTAGCCCACGTGGAACAGCTAAGTTATGCACCTCTCTGATTTTCTTTTGCATAGCCCTATATCCCAAAAGTCATCCAGGTCCCTCTATTTCTTCCCGAACAGCGTTTTCTACTTCTTGTACGCCAATGTCGTAACGAACGTATTTTATATCATAATATGACAACCTCCGACTGAGAGTTCCCAGACTCCACGCATAAATAAGAATGCATCTATTTCTTTCAGTTAACAAACATGATAACATGTATTTGCTCTATAAATGTTCATAAACCTCCATGAATGATGGAGAAGTACAGCAATGTACTTTATGTTATTCCAATGAACTGTCTCGCTATAATAATGTTAATAAACTATTCTCTATCTCCCCCCAAGTCTTTAATGATTGAGAGGGAGCAATGTCATTAAATACTTTAACTAAAACAACATGAACCGTGCATTTATATGATAACAAGCTTAGTTCACTCTTCCTGGAGTCCTTTTTTGTTGTAATCCTGTAAACGTCGTAGAGCTAGAGGTAGCTTCTTGGGTGTGCTAGGGTTTTCAGGTGCCTGACTGGCGGGGATAGGGGTTTGCTCCAGTGTGATGTTGGTTTGGTGTAGATGGCATTGATGTGGACTGGGGTGTGGGAGGTGTAGGGCTAGGGATGTTTGGTGGCTCTGTTGGTGGGGTGTGCAATGTTGGTTGAGGAGCTTTGGTCTGTGGGGTTGGTAGATACCGTAAATCCTCAGTGATAGTGTGTCAGGGTTGTCGCTGTTGAACTGGAATGAATTTGCGTAGGAATTTACGATTGCGGAGTGTCACACGGCCTGACCCGTCCACACGGATTGCATACTGAATTGACGGACTTCAATCACTAAGCCTGTTTTATCCCATTTTTTTGGATGGGGGCCAATTTGGTTCTGTATTCGGACTTGGTCCCCAACTTTCAGTGGTGGGAGTCGGCGTGTGTGCTCGGACAGCCATTCAGTGGTTTGCATATGACGGTTGCGAAGTGCTTGTTCGCGGGTCATAAGGGTATCTTTCCAGGTAGGGTGGGGTTGGTAACGCCCAGGGGTAATAGGGATGAAATCTTTGATAGGTCTTCCGAAGATGCATTCTGCTGGTGACAGTTTTGTGGTGGGATCGGGTGTTTTTCTGTACTGGAGGATAGCAATTTGTAAGGTGTCGGTGTCAAGGGTACCGTTAGGGCCAGTGTTGTTGGTTATTAAGCGCTTAACTGTTTTGACACCAACCTCGGCGCGGCAGTTTGAGTGAGGGTAGGCGACGGATGACAGGCGATGATGGACTCCCCAGGATGTGAGGAAATCTTGTGTTGATGTGGCAGTAAATTCAGGTCCGCCGTCGGTTGCTAGCTCATCTGGAATTCCAAATGTGACAAAGATACGTCGTAAGCAGTGGATTAATCCAGTTGCACCGTCTTTGCAACGCTCTATTATGGGCCAGTTGGAGTACCGATCTATGACCACGAGGTAATTGACTCCTTGGTAATGGAAGTAATCAGCGCATAAGAGTTGAAATGGGTAGCTTGGTGGAGTGATGGGTGTGGGAGGGGGGTTTGGATGAAATGGGGCCATTCGGTTGCAGTGTTGACAGGATTCTCTTATGGCTCGAATTGCCGGTGTTATGCCAGGCCAGAATACGGTTGCCTCGGCGCGAGAGGTCATTGAGGTGATGCCTTGGTGAGCCGAATGGAGGATGGATAGGATGTGACTTCTTAGGGATGAGGGTATGACAATGCGAGCTTTGTATAGGATAACCCCATCGATGGCATAGAGGTGTTCACAAAATTGGAAAAATTCCTGTAAATCAGGGGGGAGTTCGTGGCGAAACTCGGGGAAGCCTGCTGTAATGGTTGAAAGGAGCTTCTCCATTGTTGTGTCGCTCGCTGTTGCTGTTTTGACGCGGTCCCATGTTACGGCCATGGAGTGGGTTGATTTGATGGCAGATGACAGCAGTTGCTTTTCAATGGTGGCAGTGATTGAGTATGTGTCGGGTTCAAGGGTGCGGATGCCAGCTAGGACGGGGTTGCTCAACATGGGTGGGGGGGAATTGGCATTGATGTCGGCCACGTCATCGGGGATGGGCATGGCTTCGGGGTTGGTGGTGCCAGATGGATGGCGTGAGAGTGCGTCGGCAGCTTTGTGTTTGATGCCTGGGATATGGACCATGCGGAAGCGGTATCGAAGCGTCTTTTCTTTGAGATTGCGAAGGCGGATGTTGGAAATGTCTTCAAGACATCGATCACCAAAGACTTTAAGGAGGGGTTTGTAGTCAACAGCTATGATAAGGTTGTCACAGCCCAGTACAAAGAAGCGGGCTTTGTCGAGTGCGTCTACCACTGCAAGGGCCTCGCCTTCAATGGGAGCATATCTGGATTCGGCGGTGTGGGTAAAATGGCTTCCGACCAGGGTAACTTTCCAGCCAGTTTTACAGCAGAAAGGCCTCTCAGCAGGGCAGTCGCAGTGTTTCTGAAATAGCCAAAAGCCTATCCCATCTTTCGACCAATCAGTAGCGAGACAGGTGGGCTTGGACTTATCGAAGATCTGTACACCGTGTTCGATTTCGTTAACGATCACCTTCTTCGATTCTTCGAAGAGTTGATTTAGCTCTTCTGTCCATGTGAATTGTGAGCCAGGTTTGAGTGATTCGCGAAAGGGTAGCATTCGGTCTGCGGCAGCAAATGCATAGGAGACCTGGTTTATTAGGCCAAAGCAAGAGCGCATGTCAGTGACGTTGGCCGGTCGTGGAAAGTTGAGGATGGCAGCAAGGTATTTCTGGCATGGGCGGACATGGTTGGGGGTGATAGCAAAGCCAGCAAACTCGACTGTGTCCTGTCCAAATACGAATTTTTCGGGGTTCAGGATTATGCCATTGTGTCCACAAGTGTCAAGCCAATCTACTGCTTGGAAAAACTGCCTTCGATGTTGTCAGCCCAGAGAAGTGCATCATCAATACATTTCGTTTTGTCTGGAATATCCGAGACAATCTCGTCGAAACGTCGCGAGAAGCCATCACCAGATGCAATGTACCCTTGGGGGGCAGTCTTGTAGCGAAATCGGCCCCATGGAGTTATAAAGGTGGTAAGATGGCGGTCGTCAGGGTGTATAGCAACACTATGGTAGCCATTCCAACAGTCGAAGATGGTTTTTTTCTTGTTGGTAGGCACAGATCTAGCCTGGTGGAACGGGCTTTGGGTGTGGTGGGTTTCGCGGGTGGCATGTAGGTTTAAGGCTTGGAGGTCAACTGTCCTGCGAGGCTGGCCATTCTTCTTAGCGCAAACGACCATTCGATGACACCAGGTGACGGGTTCGCCAATTGGTACTGGCTCAAGGACGCCCAATGCCACATCGCGGTCAAGACCAGCTTTGACATCCTCTTGCCAGTGTAGTGGTACTGGTATAGGGGTATGGTGTGCTACCGGGGTGGCATCTGGGTTGACCATAAGCCGCATTGGTGGACCGTGCATAAGTGGGAGGGGCTGATGTTCGCATGTATTGAAGGTACTGGCAGCATAGTAGTCAAGGAGCCACTGTTGGAGGTGTGCTCGATTAGCATTGTTGGCAGGGAAGGGTGGTTGTGTAGGTCGAGGCGGTGGTTTCTGGCGCAGTGGACAGTTGCATGGTGCTGTGAGTGCACTTTGTGGTGTTTGCTTTGGGGTGGTGTTGGTGTTTCCTGGTGACGCGTCAGATGGTGGTAAGGTGATTAAAGGTGATGCTTCACCGACAGTGGGAAATGTTTCAGAAATCATACCAAGGGCTACACATGCTTCCCTGCTGAGGAATAATCTTTCAGAGTCACTGGTCACGTAGGTTATTTGCCGGGTTTCCAGTGTTGCACCAGACTTCGACCTGCCGGAGAAGCGTAGGATGGTTGCTCCAAGTATATTGATCCCTTTGTTGTTAGCTGCTACCATGCGCATAGTGACAGGGATGAGATCTTTTTGTTGGAGGCCAAAGCGTTCAATGATCTTCATGCTGGCCAGGCAGCTCTGGCAGCCAGTGTCAGCCATGACAGGTATTTGGAGTCGCCTGCGGGGGATTTCTGGAGGAGTCATGCCAAAGGTCTTGTAGTCCTCTGGGCACACTGTGGTTGCGAGTGTAATGAATGGTTGTGGTTTCGATGATTGGCGAACCCAGCAGTCATTCAATTGGTTGTAAAGGTGGTGGTCTATCGATATGCCACAGGAAGTGGAGCAGAGGGAATCGAAGATGGCGCCTTCCTGATCATTATTTGCTTTCTGAGGTAATGGTGGTTTGGGTTTCGTTTTCTGTAGGCAGACGGTTTCTATATGGTTTGGTCGACCACAATGCCCACATGTTTTGCCGTAAGCAGGGCAGGAATGTTTTCGGATGGATTTTGAAGCGCGTTTGCCATGACCATTTTGTCCGCAATAGTAGCATGTGTCTTTGGTGGTGAGGTGTTGGGACTTGAGTCCATCTCGTTTGGCTTTATAATACTGACTGCGGGTGGCATTCAGCGATTGTGCTTCCTGTAAACGACCAGCCGACCGTTTTCCGGCTTCCTTTGCCTCAATGAATTGGATGACTTCTTCTAGTGACATGTCTTGGTTTTTGTCGCCTAAGAGATCCAGCTGGATTTCATGGTCCGCGAGGCCGCGGGTCACAATGTCACGTAGGATCTGTTCAGTGTAGTTAAGATCGACATTACAAGTAGGGCAGGGAATAGTAAACTTGCAAATGTTGGCTTGGCCACGCAGTCTTGCTTCAAAATGTCGGATTGGCTCGTCCCGGTCTTGTTGCATGTTATGCAGTTCTACTCGTGCGACCATTATGTTTTCAGCGCGTACTGCAAGCTTCTTGATAGCGGCCATTACTTCGTCAGCTGTCTTATCCACGAGTGAGCCCCCTTCGTTTCGGGTCATGTCCTTTCGCAAGTTCTCGTCGCAACATTCAAGTAGTTGTATTACTTTCTCCTTCCCTTGTATTTTTGTAGCTTCAGCATATTCTTGCCATCGTGTGATGAAATACGACCACTCTTCACTGGACCCTCCAGCACAGACGTTCGGGCGTTTTACTCTTTCCACTTTGCATGCTTGTGTCAGTTGTGTGGGGGCAGGTGTGTTGGTGTGTGCTCCAGTGTTATGGATGGTTATCATGACAACAGCAAGTTCGTCAGAAATGTCCTCTGTCTCGTAAGTGCATTCGGGGAATGGGCACTTGTGTTTGGGCATTGTTGTGGGTGCTGTTTGCTTGGGATTCTGAGTGAAAATTCTTGTTTTTCTTACCCGTTGTAAAAATCCAAGATGGCGGCTACGTTGCCAGTTGTCGATTCTGCGATAATTCTGGTTCTCTGGGTGCTGTAAACAATCTGTTTTTGCGTCGATTACACCCTGGGAGTGTTACTTCTCCATCATAAATAAGAATGCATCTATTTCTTTCAGTTAACAAACATAATAACATGTATTTGCTCTATAAATGTTCATAAACCTCCATGAATGATGGAGAAGTACAGCAATGTACTTTATGTTATTCCAATGAAGTGTCTCGCTATAATAATGTTAATAAACTATTCTCTAACACATATTGTGGAAAATCCCGTTTTACAAAATCCAATTAGGCTTTTCTCGATTGTGCTAGTAAAAGTAGCATAATATGCTACTAGCAGTTCTGGTTTAATGTCTAAATTATGCTCGAATTATGCCAGTTTTAAAAAATTAGGCTTGTTTTTTATTATATTATGCTATTCAAAAATATGCTACAAAAGTGGAAAAATCAACGTATTTTGTTATAAAAAGTAAATTTTGTAACTTTTAATAGTCTTTTCTCCTGAACTCAACATAATAGTCTATTCATATGGCTCTATCATCGTCCACAAAATCTGTTGCCCAGACTATATATACAGTTCGTTGATTGTTCTCTGAGTTAACAACTCAACGTTTGTTATATTGAAGCATTACACTTGCTTGCAAATAATCTGATAGTGCATGATGCTGCTGATCGTTGAATGAGGCGTTAAGTATTGAGAAAGCTCTCTCAGCAGCAGCGGATGACGGTTGAACCAGTAGGACTTTCTTAACAGCAGAAGACCAATTGGGAAGTTGTTCTGCGTGATGTTTCCACCATTCGACCTTCTTCTCTTCGGATGAAATTATCACGTCTTGTGCGGCCGCGACATACTGCGGTAGCTCTTTAACCAGGGCGTCAATTGTAGCATCATTGTTAAGAAATGGAAAGATCTTCAAGGTCTTAATTGTTTCGGCTGTGGGTGCTAACCACTGGACGGCCACAGGGCACATTCTTGCAGCTTTGAAGGCTGATACTGTGTTATAAAGTTCCACATTAACCTTTCGCAGGAACTTGGGTTGGATCTTGATTTGCAATGGAGACAGCGACTGCACGTACGTTTGGAAAATGTGGATTCTGGCAAGCCTCGGCAAAAGCTTTCAGCTTCTTGTAACAGGAAAACACAAGAGGACCATCACCTTCCAAGTAATATGTAGCCTTCACAAAATGTTGCCCAACGTCAATGGTCACAGCAAGCTCCAGCTTGAGGTCAATTAGGCGTCGGGGATCAGACATGATTGCTTGAAGCTGTGGCACAATCTGTGCACAGAATTTCGCATCTTTTGCCATTTCAAGAAATCTGCCAACATCTCTGAATTGCTCCATAAGCTGCTGATAAATTTCCCATTTTGACCACCAACGCGTTTCACTGTGGGATTTTGGCTTTCGACCCGTCAGATCCTGCCATGCTAATTTTGCCTGGTGGCTATGGCTAAACAGGCGTATCCAGAGGTTTCCAAACTGCAAAAGAGTAGGAATAAGCAGGTGATTACCAACATTATCGAGCGTGTGGGAAAAGCAAACGACGTTGAGTAGGTTTGGAAATATAAAGGCTATTCGATTCAATGCGGCTTGATTGACACTTGCTCCATCTCTCATTGCTGCAAGTAATGAGTTTGCCTTGATGCCATATTCGACTGACAGACATTCGTTCAGAACCCTTGCTAGCTGTTCCGAGTTCACTGATATATACTGCCCGAGATTGGAACTACCAGTGAGACGATATCCATTCTTCTCTAAGAGAGGTCGTAGTTTGTCAACTTTGTGGATCGGGATTCCGGCTTTTAAAAACTCTTCCACTACTTGCTGTCAGTATGCTCGCTCAGCTAAGGGCAGCGTACTCTCTTTCTGGCTTTTCTCACGACTAAGGGCCTCGGCAATAGTTTGGTCTCTCAATTTCGACTTTTGTAACTGCGCTTTTCCACTTTCGTGTTTTTTGGAAGAACAATGAGAAACTACAATGCTTTTCTTTGACGAAATCACTTCTTTGCAAGCATTGCAAAATATAGCGTTACCTCTAACACACAGATGTTGATTTGGAAATTCAGTTTACTCGATCTCGTAAACAAATTTTCTTCACGTCAGAAGCTCCCCGGCTCTTGTATTCATTCTTGTTTGAATCTGACCACCGCTCTCGAGCAATTTTTGCAGGTGGTGGCCTGTTTGCACTATTATTATCACTATTTTCCTGTTGCCTTCCTTGTGCAACCTGTAAGTTTATATTTTCCTGAGAGGCTGACGCCATCTTGGATATTGAGTAATGGGGAAATGTGGAGTGTGGACTGGGTCTCATATTAAGGTGATTACCTTACTAACTACAGTAGTCAGCGTAGTGTTGTTTAACAATCACTTCCTGCAAGTGTTTGGACAAAATTCTAAAGAACAAGTATAAAGAAAACTAAAAAACGTTCACATCTTTAGCATTTTGCTCTGAAACTTAGACATGTCTGGCAATTGTCTGCAGATTATGATAGCAGTGCTTTTTTCTAAAAAAATGCAAAATTATGCTTGTTTACCCAAATTATGCTAAAAAATATGCTAGCACAATCGAGAAAAGCCTACGGCCGGTGTTAGCCATCAGGCGGTCCCGGTGTGGATGCATACTCAGAGTAACATCACAAACTTCATATTCACCTGAGTACATAACACCAACACACACAAAGAAATTACGTCACCCTCCGAATTTTCATGTCAGAAGCTGGTAACCTAGTTTTAAAGGCCTTTAGGGTTTGTAGGGTTGCCACGCGAAAATTGAGCTTTTAATCAAAGCC